AAAAAAGTCATGTGCCCCAATTTGACATGAGAGATGACCTACAATGTAGGAGTTATGGCATCAGCTACCTATCAAGTACCTAGCTCTTAAACTAACGTGTCTCTGTATTTCATGCTTGAGGCTTATAACTTATAGAAAAGAGACAGTAATGGTAAAACAAACAAAAAAACAACTGTAAAATAAGTGTATTCTGCACCAAATATTTTTAATAATTCCCATACTAGAAAAAGGATGTGATTATGTTCAAAATAATGTATATTTGATATAGTTATTTAGAAAGTTTATAACAGTACTTCCTCTAACACAGCCCTATGCTTTCACAAAGAGAAATTTGATATTCTTATGATGTTATTAAGATTATTCAACTTTATTCATGCTTTGAGATGTACAGAATAATGTTTCAAAATATATGATATTGAGGGGGGTATAAAAGAGGTCTAGCGCCTGGGAGTAGGATCTTAGAAAGTTCTGCCAGTGTTGTGCCTCACCTGTAATTCTCCTCAGTAGAAATATTTTGTAAAAAAATATATATAGTACTGAATTATTTAAATAAAAGTTCGTATTTTTCAAATGTAGAAGTTGCTTGCTATAAACAGAAATCTATAGTTCTATTAGAATTATGCAAATGCATTGACTTCTTCTCCCACTACAGGAATCCAAGTAGGATAATCTTTTAAATTTCAGCTTATAGATGGTTAACAATACTTTTTTTAGTATAGTTGACTGTTCAGCGTATGGCCTCTTAGAATTAAATAGTGTGTGAAACAGCTGGCTGAACAGAAATAGAGAGGAGGAACAAGTTTAAGATCGAGTTCTGGAAGTTCTTTCTGCTCGTTCTTCTTTTGTGCTGCTACTCGGTGTATAGAAATGTTGCATTAAGTAATGGAAATGCTGCTGCTTATAGGTTTACTACGTTGTCTCTGATGTAGAATTTCTCTACCTTAACACAAGTTCATTGGCAGGATCAGATGTCCTGTAGTAGCCAGAACACAATATACTACCTTTTTATCATCTGTGATTCAGGAAAGATACAGTTTTGTAATCACAGCCAGTTTTTCAGGTTGATGCTAAACACAGATCCAACTTGGACAACATCACAATTTCTCTCTCAATTCCTCCACCTGGAAGTCATTCTAATGCAGATAAAAGAAGCATGCAAACCAGCCCCTACTCTAGGCCTTGGATATGCAGCTGCTGAGAACCAAGCTGAAGTGTACTGGAGATAATATAAAGTGTTATTTGTGAAAAGGAACCTCTTAATAACATTGCTGTCTTGAAATAATAATGTTAGAAACAACCATTAAACTGGAAAACCCAGATTTCTTTTCTTGTCTGTGTTTCCTCTTAACTTTCCTCTGAAGCTAATAAATAGATGTAGTATATTAGAAAATGATTTTTAAAAAGCTTTTTAAAGGCCATGTTTCAGTGACTTTTGCAGAGGTCCATTTTTAAAGCTTTTAGTGCAGTGTAATGTTCTCTCTGAATTTAGGAAAGCCATTTTAATGTCTGCATTTCTAGAGGAAGACTCTACCTTGGCTATCCAGTCCTTCCTTGAATATCAAAGGCACCTTGGAAAACCAAGGACCGGTTTTTATGGGTGTGGTATTCGCTATCATGCTTAGATTTTAAAAGAAGCCTTGCTTATTAGTTATATGACAAATAAGCAATAAAAAGTCAAGGTAAATGACACTTCCAGTTATTTTGAACATATTAGGAAAAGAAGGATGCAAGCAGGAAGCTGCAGTTATTGGGAATGTGGAATGAAGTACTTAGGCTGGGATAGCTGTGGTCTACCTTTATTCAAGGTAAATTGTAGTAATGTTCTGTTCCTTAATATTTATAGAACAATTTGTAGAAGGATAGCATAGTACATAGCACTGTATTGCTGAGTCCTGAGTTCCTGCGTTTGGGACTACTCTTGTGAAATATTCGTAGTACTTTTTAATAAGGGTAGTAACTGGAAAATTATCCAGTAGGGATGTAGCCAAGCTGAAAATGAGTATAATGAATGCTACCCTTAAAAAAAATAAAAATAAAAATCCTCCAAGACAAATAAACACTCATTGCCAAACCCTTATTTTGTTAAATTAGCTTCTTTTGGTTAATACTTTGTGTTTGTCTTTTAAAATGTCACTAGTGTATCATATCTTTAAGAGTTTCCATTTGTGCCCTCCTTAAAGCTTGACTGAGCCATTGTCTGTGATGATAAAAGTATAACAAGCATTTTATTTAAAGTTGGAATGCATCATTGACTTTGCCTCCATGTGCTGTTGTCAATACAGATATAAATATATAAACGCTGGTAAAATCTGGGTGTCAGATTGCATGCCTGTAGCCCTTGTAATGGACACAGTTGCTTTATCCTTGTTACTGGTGAGGCTGCAGCTCCTCACAAAAAAGGATAAGTGCATTTATGTTTTTGTGTTTTATGTTTATTTATTAAGTTAGAAAAGTGCAAAGATTACTAATGCAGGGGGGAAAAATATAGATGCTTTGAAAAGAGAATATCAAACCAGGTTTCTTGCTTGCCGTACTTCAATCAGAGATGAGAAGACAAGTTACATTGGTCAGGTTTTTCCTTGGGTTTCATATAATCTTGGAGGTAAAACTGTATGTAGGAGTTGGAAACAATGGCTTATAACTCCTGAATTACTGAAATCTCACAAGAGCCCTTATATGATCTCTTCCAGCTGCAGCTTTCCATATGGTACTCTGGTGCTATATGCGTAGAATAATAATTCTCCACATTGCAAAGCCAGTCTGATGGAAAATGGAAATGTTCTGGTTCTAACTGGGCTGTTATCTCCTGTGAAGACTTTTTATTTGTGTTTTAGCAGTTTTCTGTAGTAATGAATACTTGGTCAGTCCTGCCTTCTAACAAGCAGAGCACATTGAAGAGATAGATTGTGAAATATCATAGCATTTTTAATTGTTGTGGAAAGTATTCTTTTAATTATTATTGTTTCTGAGGAGCAGTATGTTTTCAGAGGCAATATTAATATTATGTGCTCTTTGATACTTTCAGTTGATTCTCTTTCATATGACTTCAGAGAAACTCTCTGAGGAAGAGCTGTTGCCCAGAGACAGCCTCTTGTCCCTGTTAGCAGAAGCTCATCTTGTTCTTATGAAACCTGCAAAATAGCAATTTAGTACGATTATAGAAAATCACCTCTTAGGGATTGTGAATTAAATCATGAATTAGCTGTTTTGCAGTGATCCTTTCAAATGAGATGATAGATTTTCAGGCTTGTAGTTTTCGTATCTTAATCATGCAGAACATATTTTCTGACCTACACCTAGCACAACACAGATTCCACGTGTTTTGTATAGCTGAAAATTAAGAAGTGGTTTGGCCTGGTTTTCTTCTGAGCTTTTGCACCAACATAGACAAGTCCCTTAACCTCTGAATATTTTGTTTTCCATTTGTAAACTAAAGACAGATGCTTTTTGCCCTTGCTGGTTATGAGGGGGCTTACTAACTTCTCTGGAGAGCTTTGAGGTCTTTATACATAAAGTTATAAAAAGGACGTGAATGTTAGAAGTGAATCATGTGATTTGGAAAAGCATAGGAAGTGTGATTGAGAGATAACTGAAAGCATCAATGAAGCTAAATGTGATTGTCCATAACTGCTTGGTCAAAAAATGAGGTCTTTGACTAAAGAGACTTGCAGTCCAGATAATTTTCTATCAGTAAGTATGGGAGTAAATAATTTAGTCATTATGGTTTGTAAATACTATTGAGAGTCTCCAGGTGATGCAAAGTGAGCAAATGAGTGAGAAGGTTTGGAAGAGGTGGTGAAGAAAGTGGAATGGAAGGATGTAATTCAAACAAGGCCAAGTCCTCTCTGATGTCTATGACAGAGGACTGAGTTTTGTCTCATTCCCTTAACTATTGAAATGTTGTCTTCCAAATAATCAGCAAGGAGATCTGAAATTGCCATTAAAAATGGCATATCAGGCAAAGGCAGATCTTAGCTGAGGTCTGCAGTCAGGGAGGTTCAGTCAGATGCTTGAGAATATGCCTAGTCTTTGGGTTAAAATACTTTGGTATGTGAGAAGAAAGCAGCATTATTTTCCCTTTGAACATCAGCGCAGACCTATATTAAGTGAACCCAGGTGACACCAACAGTACTGAAAGAAGTATTTTCACCTTGCTCATACTGGTGGAAAAAGAGATCAGAATACAGAATTGTTTCAGAGCAGATATAGGGGCTGTAGGGCAAATATACATAAGAAGAGTGGATTTTTTAGGTGGAAGTGCCTAGAGCTTGTAGTGAGCTCTGTTGTCCACTTCAGACAGGTGTTTACATAGCATAGCTGAAAACGTCTGCTGCCCATTGTTTTGAAAGACTATCCTAAGGCCAAGAGAGTGAAAGGCAACATAGGTTAATAGCAGCTAAACTAGATAAAAAAAGCCTCATTTAAAGGCAGTGACTTTGATTAAATGTTTGTCACACGATAAAGACATATGTTATATTGCTGACAAATACAGAAGAAGACATGCAGACAAATGAGTAGATTTCTTCAGCTTGCTCTGAATTGCCTCTTATTAATACATTAAGCTCTGTGAGTTAGTCTTTAATTCTCTGATATGGATCAAAGTTCACACATAAAATGATGAGGCTTCATAGAAAACTGTTGACACGTGAGAAGCTGACACCCCAGTGTTTCTAGGCAAGAATTAGTCATTAGCAAAGTTTTTATAAAGCAGTATCTTCAGCAAATTGGATCTCTTCTAGTTACATTTGTTTGAGAAGAGGAGAGAGAATGAATAGAATGAAATAAACACCAGTGAAAAGAGGAGATTGGAAGATGTATGGGAACTGCTGAATCATGGCCTGAACCTCTGATTGATTGCCTGAGGCGAGCAATGAGTCAGCCCTGAGAGCACAGGTGAAGGCAATTCTTCTGTGCTATCGGAAGGGATGGAGCCTGGCTCCACCTCTCCTAGACCCCATTTAAGAGCAGATTGCCACAGGGGGAACATTTCTTTTAGAGATTACTCCTCTTGGAGTCTTCTCAGCGAGCCTAGGACAAGGGTAAGCTTTCCATCCGTTCTTCTTTAGTGTAATAACCTGTTTAGCCTAACTTTCCTGTATATTTCTTAATTATAATGTCTGTATATTCATTGACTCTACAGAAGAGCAATCGTTAAATTGACTGGTGAGGGGAGGTGGTGGAGTTGCTCATTATAGGAGAGAGCAACAGGAATGTATTGAGGCAAACAGTGAACAAGTGGAAAGCTTGTAGGTAAGAACTAAGAGGCTGGCTAACATAAATGATACTGTTGTGGGTGTGTACTATAGGTGACTTGATGAGGAGAAAGTAGATGAAGCCTTCTACAAGCTGCTGGAAGTAGTCTCATGACCCCCAACACTGGTTCTCATGGGGAATTCTACCAACCTCATATTTGTTGGATAAGCAATACAGCCAAGCATATTAGGTCCAGGTGGTTCCTGCAATGTGTTGATTATAACTTTTTGAATCGTGGTGTGGAGGAGCTGATGAGAATAGGTGTGGTAATTGACCTTGTTTTTACTAACAAGGAAGTGCTTGTCAGGAATGTTGTGGTTTTGGGAAGCTTGGGATGTAGTGATCATGAGATGGGAGAGTTCAAGATCTTGTGTGGAAGAAGCAAAGCAATAAGAGAACAATAAGTAGAATTGCTACTTTTGAACTTCAGGCTCATGACTTGAAGTTGTGTACCTTGATGTCAAGATCTGTTTGAATGCCCACTTGTGCAATCTGTTGCAAGGTACCTGCTTTAGCAAGGGCTTTGGATTTGATGATCTTTTGATGTTCCTTTCAACCCCTTCAATTCTGGAAATCTGTGAAATGTTGTTAATTGAACCATTAAATACTTTGTTAAGAAGGAGCAATGTGGTAATAGATTGCCTGTGCTAACTACATATGTTGTAGCAGCACTAAATTGCTTGGATGCTGTCATGAATTTTAGGGATGCTGGAGGGGGAGCATTCATGGATGTGTGAAACCAAGTTAGCATATAGAAGAGTAAATAAATTTCCTGGCTTCAATTTAACATGAATCTGTAGCTTGATTTCCTTTCTCTTTTGATTAGCATATATATTAATGTCATAACAACAGACAGGCACACCTTTGACAAGTGCTAGAATGGCCCCACACGATATAGTTCTATAACTGTAGCTTCTTTCATGCCCTTCCAGAAGGAGCCCACACGGTGTATGTTCACGTGTAACATCTGTAGGGGGGAATTCAAGTTGCATTCTCCTTTTCTTCCTGATAGCCTTTTTCAGTCAGCACGTCATCAGTGTACTGCAGTGGTCTAACCTTTCATAATCATCAAGTGTTGCAGGATCTTTGTCTGAAAAATGACAGTTCTTTATTTAAATTACAAGAGGGCACTTCCTCATTTTAGGCTTTTGATTAAGTGCACAAAGGCAAATCAAAAAGTAATGATTTCTATAGCTGATCTCTGAAATACGTTATTTATTTGTGTTTCTGCTGCAATTCACAGGCAAGCCTTTCCTTGAGCACTTGACATATTTTGCTCATATTGCAGAGGTCTCACGCTGGGGCAGGTATAGAAATTGACTTAGTTTGAATCAGTTATCTCTTTTCTTTACATTTGGAAAACAACTGGTAAGGGCTAATTGTTAGTCCTAGTTTAGAAGCAGGTTGATGACTTCCTTTGCTAAGCAGTAATTCTAAGTCTCAGGTATAAAATACAGTCATTCACATAAAAGTGGCTTGGATTTTTTTCTACTGAATGAACTGTAAAGGCACGAATGCTTCATATTCAAAAAGGTGCAGACATAGTATTTATTTTCTAGAGAGATTCCTTTGATACTGTTCACAGATAATGTATTTTCTCTCCTTCCAATATTTTTGTCATAAATTCGCTGTTTGTGAGGAAAGCAGAAAAACTTGTATCTGCAATTCTAGTCCCTTCACTTGTGACTGTTGAGTGGTAATAAATGACTGCAGGGCCAAGCCCCTTTGTGACATTGATGCTCCCTGCCCTGTGCACTTTTCCCCAGTGTGGAAGATTTCTGCTAGACTAAGCTAAGTGTGGTTTTAAGTTGCTCTTTGACATGAATAACAGAGCCTGCTACTCCTCAGCAGCCTGCACTGCTGACCTGCTCTCAGCTTTATATCTTTATTGTTGAAAGATTCCATGACTGGAAACAGATCCAAACTGGGCATGCACTGTCCTGAAGGGCTATGGTGTGGGCGGCTCTAATAGAGAGGGTGAAACAGGACTGAAAGTCTGAAAAAGAGTGGTTGAATCCTCTTAGGGGAAAAAGGTGGAACTTTGTTCTTTAACCATTGTTTAATCCAGTTTTCTGTCTGAGGAAGCAGGACCTACCACAGGATTGCTTAAAGAGTAAATTAATTTAGCATAATGGCCCTGTGTTCTCTAGCTATAGAATTTACTTTTTTTTTTTTTTTTGTCACACATCTATGCTTTTAGTATCACATTACCTTAATCCAATTATATTTCCATTACTTATTAATTACGCATCTACAAGTGAGTAAAGTAGAAATAAATTTCATCCTGGTTGATTCTTCCAAAACCATGAAACAGGAGTTAGAGAAATGAAAATTGACACATTTCTCTTGGAAGACTGATCTCTGAAATTGCTTTGCTATTGTAATATGACATTTTGCCAAACATTTCTGAAGTCAATGCCTTTGCAGTGCACATTGCCATTATCTATCTTCCGGCATCTGTTGCTTTAATTTCTTGCTGCTTTGTCTGTGGCTGAATTCTGACTTCATGCTGTCATCCAAAAGAAGATGAGAGTCATAGAGTGCTATATCAACCTACAGCCTCCTGGGAAGGGGCGGGGAAGATTTGAGAAGCCAAAGAATGGGAGAGAACCAGAAGTTCTCTTAGTGATCAGTAGTAGTGTCATGCCCCAGATTCTGGACTCAGTACTGAAGATAAGCATCTACAAACTGTGGTCCAGTAAGTATGTTAGTCTGGCTACACTGACAGTGGATATATTTTCTAGAAGATGTAAAGATATGACTGAAACACAGAATTAAATGAACTTAGCAGTGATATTTAAAGATGTCATTAAAATAATTTTGTCTCCCACTGTGTTAACGATAAACTGAGAAGTATAATTTCCCATGAACTGAGAGTATAATTTGGTGGTGTTCTGTAGTGTCATATCTAATGACAACAGAAGGACACCAAGACTACAGCACTGACTGAACAAAAATACAAGGAAGCATATATATTTGTGTATTTTTTTCCATTTTGTATTAAACAAAAACCCAAAAAACTTGCAAAGTGCAAGTCAATTACTGCAACCTCTCTCCTTACTCTGGACTCACTAAATACAGTGATGTTCCAATAGATTTGTCCTGGCTATTAATTTTCTTTTTTTTTTTTTTGTCTTCTTTTTTTCCTAGTAAATTAGTATCAACTAGAAGAGAATTAAAGCAAAAAGGTAGCCTAAGTTGTGTGGCTTCATGCTGTGCTTACCCTGATCCTTTCTTTTATATGCAGTATTGTTACTTCTCTTTTTAGTGAACCACTCAATATTAGCAAATGGTTTTTCCCTTTGCAGTTAGCTTTCTTTATGTGTGCATGCATGTTGTACTTTGCTAATGCTAAGAGCATTGAAGAAGGCCAGTGAGTGGCTGCATATATGTAGGGTTAAAAATGAAAGCTGTCTGAAGCTGTTAGTACCAACCTCCCTTCTTCAAAATGGCCTGCATTTCCCACTGAAAGGAGTAAGTGTTCAGAAGAATGTGTATGCAATTAAATATTGTATTCATGGGATTGTTGTAAATAATGTCTTAAGGTCCTGTCGTTTATTTGCATATTTTATTTCATACGTATGTCTTTGCGTTATATTAACTAGTTTGTTATCATCTTGTTCTCTCGCAAGGTTTTGAAGTTTAAATTCTGCGTTCTCCTAAAACCAAAGTCTTCCTGTGAGGTATCAGGTTGATGGTGATGACTTTATGATTTGCACTGTATTGGCATTTGCAGATCACTGCTAGTAGAGATGTAGTCCTGTGGCACAGGAACACAGACATACTAGATCTCACGAATCAGAATGAGATCCTTTAGGTTGATCACTTATACTTTCTGCTCTTGTTCCCTTGATGTGGTTTTTTTTTTTTTTTTTTTTTTTTTTCCTAGCCACTCTAAGATCCCACTGACAAGATACTGTTGGCCAACATGCTCTGGAAACTGCTAATTAGTTGAGACTCAAGCATTGGGCCCCAGGGTTTGGGAAGGTTACTGTGTTGCAGCTGGGGATTTTGCTGCTCAGGCTATTGTGTGATTCATCCCATGCATGACCTTGCATGGTGCATGAGCAGATGCAATTTCACAGTGCAGGTGTTTCTGGACTGTCCCTGTTTCTGGTGGGTTTAATGATCTCTGGCAAAGCATTTGAGATCATGTTCTGGAAAGCCTCTGAAGCCTATGATGGATGTTCCAGAATTAGCCCTTTTTAGCTCAGTCTATTTAAGGGTAGTATCACCTCTTGTTTTCTGTTTTGCAGGGATGTTATAGAATAATAAGTGGTTAAAAAACACTGATAGAAAATGTCCCATTGGTTCACTTATAATACTTTTTTCCCCCTGTAACTGTTTGCATTGTATTTTGGTAGATTACCTTGCCAGAACTTTTTGCACTTTGTGTGGGAAAATGCCTTTGGAAAACATACTCTAAGGTGTATACAAAAGCAACATTCAGTTTTATTTCATAGGGATGTAACATTTTGTAAAGGATCATTTTCTTAAAGACTTGGCACAATAAACTGTGTGAAAACATATATGCCTGTAGAACTGACTCCTTGCCTGTCTTTTTAGTTTGTATGAAGTTTTTTCTTCGCTCTTTGAAAGTGGTAACAGTAAAATTCCTTAAGCCCCTAAGCAACGTGATGGCTATTGTTCTCAGGAATAACATTGTCTTGGCAGTAGACTACATAGAGGAAAGCTAAGTCATTCTGAATGCAGATTCACTCAGTCTTTTCCTAGACAAAAAAATGCTAAGCTTGGACATTTTTTTTATTTACCAGTGAAAATATTT